CCCCACTGGTGGGCACCCTCTTTGTTTCCAGTTCTTTGCCATCACATAAACAGTAGCTGTAAATATTTTTGTATACGCAGGACACACTTTCTTTGATTTCTTTAGGGGTAAAGTACTGGCAGTGGTATCACTGGGTCAAAGGGGATGTACATGTTAGTAACTTTGGGAGCACAGTTCCAAAATACTTTCCAGAATGGCTGCACCAAGTCACTGTTCCACCAACAGTTTATTAACTGGCCTATTTTCCCACAGCACCTCCAACATTTCTTATTTTCCTTTTTTGTCATCTTTGCCAAACTGACCAGGATGGATGGCAATATTCAAAAGAAAAATAACTTTGAAAGACAAAATCACTAACAGTTTTGCTGGAATTTTTTCCTCCTACTCTTTTGCTATATTTGTTTGTTATACAAGAATAGCTCTCTAGAAGGAAGAAGATCCTGGAAGAAATTTAGATGACATAAAAACAAAAGATACCAATATTTTTAAAGGCATCTGATCAATGCAATGATCAACCATGTTCCAGAGGATCTATAGTGATGAACTCAAAGATGATGAATTGTAAAAAGAGATATAGACAGCAGTCATGGCTTTTGTGTAGATTCATTGGGCTTATTTGTTATGAAAGTTGTTTTTCTTCCTTTCTCTGCACTTACAATAGATCCTTCACTCTCTCACCCCATGCCTGTCATTTTTACTTTCATAACAGCTCTTGAATATGCCCCCGTTTCTCCAACAATACCATTAATATGGTACATAGTCCAACTGCTGGTTTGTCAGCCTGCCCCAAGTCTCTTCCCATTTCAGTTCATCCTCCACTCATCTGCCAAAGTGATCTTCCAAAAATCTAGGTTTAACCATGTCACAGGGCCTGCTACCTCCTCACCCTCACCCCAGTCAATAGATTCCAATGGCTCCCTATCTCCTCCATCATCATATATAAAATCCTTTCTCTGGCATTCAAAGTTCTCTATAACCTGGCTCCTTTCTACCAGTCTTCTTAGACCTTACTCAACCTCCCAAGTACTCTGCAATCAATGACAATGGCCTCTTTGCTATTCCTCAAACAAGAGGCTTCATCTGCTGATACCAGGAATGTTCACTGACTGTCCCCATTGCCTGGAATGCTCTGTCTCCCCATTGCCTGGAATGCTCTATCTCCCCACCTCTATCTCTTGGCTTCCCTATCTTCTTTCAAGTCTCAGTTAAAATCCCACCTTCTACAGAAGTTAATTCAGATCTCCCTTAATTCTAGTGCCTTCCCTCTGTTGATTATTTCTAGTTTATCCTATATATAATTTGTTTGTATATCATTGTTTATATGTTGTCTCTCCCACTAGACTGAGCTCCTTGAGACTAAGGATTTTTCTTTTAACTTTCTTTGTATCTCCAGAGCTTAAGACTGTGCCTGGCACATAGTAGGTGCTGAATAAATGCTTATTAACTGAGTGACTAATTCTTTTTACTATTTGTGCAACCCTGAAAAAATCCCTTTGCCCCTCAGGGTCTTTATTTCCAGATCCATAACATGAAGGAGTTGAACTAGATTATCTTCTAAGGTTTTCAGTTCAAAATCATGATTCTAATACATAAATAAATCTATCACCTACCACATGTTTTTCTCTGGCTTTGGAGTTAAACAACCAGGGTTCAACTCTTACCTATGACAGACACTGGCCATGTCACCATGAGTAAGTTACTCGGCCTCTGAACAACTCTTTAAGACTCTGAAGTGTGGAAGAGTTAGTGACCTGAATCAGTGGAGGAAATTTCCATACCACTAGTTTCTACCTAGATGGAGTCACAGGTATAGTCCAAAAACAAAACCCTCCCCCCAAAAGCCAGGTACACACAATACTGTTCAGTATACATGAAAACAAGAATATCTAATTTGATTAACAAGAGCAATTTCAGAAATGCAGCAGAACAATCTAATATATAGTTCTCATCAAGGTCAAGCATGTTAATACTTCGGGTACTAAGGATTTCTGTAACATTCCAAAGTATGATATGAATAAGTTAGTTGCCATATTCAATAAGACTATGGTTAAAATTCAGATCTTCCTGAAATATCCTGAAACACATTCTCCCAAAAGCAATGTGTAAAGAGAAACGAGCCATCTTTAACCAACTGCCTCCAATATTTCAGCCAGGTTCAACATCTGTATTCTCTATTAGACCAAATATTCCATGACATTAGCCATGAATATAGTTGGCATTCCCAGACTTGGAAGAACACACAATTAAGGCTGCTAAAGCACTAATTAGTCTTCCCATTTTGCAAACAAAACTCACTAAATCTGACTTTATTTTCACATAAGCTTCCTAATTGGTCATACTCCAACTTAATAACCAAGAATCACCTTTTTTTTTCCTTTTAAACAGAAAAACACTGAGACTGTTTGATATTTCAAACCTAGGAAACCCACGTTCATGGAATGTGATGACTGATCCTGGCCTATCTTTCTAAATATTAAAACTCCTTTCACAGTATCTGGAGCCCCAATCTTTAATCTTCAGCGAGCCACTTTTTTTCTTTGGGTCTCAATTTTTTATTCTTCAGAATGAGAGCACTGGACTAGATCAATGCTTTCCAAAGCAATTTGGTCACAAAGCACTTTTGTGCTCGAAATACAGTGATGGGAAGCAAGCACATGTCCACATCAAATCCATGGGCCATCCAAGAAGCTGGTACACTATTATTTTAACTCTGGCTCCCACTGAGAACAGATGTTTGTAAAAGTGAACCAAAAGGATGAGGTAGGGGTTGTAGTATTTTGCAATTTAGTACCTCACGTTTTAAGAGGTAGCTAGGTAGCTCAGGGGATAGAGCTCTGGGTCTGCAGTCAGGAAGACCTAAGTTCAAATTTGGCCTCAGACACTTACTACTATGTGACCCTGGGCAAGTCACTTAAACCTCTGGCTGCCTTAAACCACAGGAGAAGGAAATGGTAAACCACTCCAATATCTTTGCCAAGATAACCTCATGGACAACACTGGCATGCTATGGTCCAATAATAACGACCTCACATTTCAGGGGATCAAGCTGTGTGTGTACATGCATACGTATAGCAGGGTTGAATTTTTTTCATGGCTGGATGCAAGGGCAAGTGGAGATTAACAGTACTGCTTGTTTAAAAACAATAGGCCCAGTGGGACTGGGCGCAAAAGTTAGAGCAGAGGGTTAACAATAAGAGGGAGACTAAAAGCCTAGTACAAAACACTGCAAAAGTCAGAGGACCCTGACAGCTAAGCTGGAAGCTCTGAGGGGCAAACCCTAGTGGCTCATTCAACTTCCTATATTCATGTTACAGAGGGCACCAAGGTTCTGTGGGAAAGAGTTTGAGAAATATTTGTCAAAACTTTTGTCATTCTAATCAAAGCACCATGGTATAGTAGAAAGAATAATGGATTCACAAAACCTGGGTTCAAATCCAACCTCTGCTATTTACTTCCTAAAAGGCTTTGGGAAAGTTCAGATTCCTAGGCTATAAACTGCCAGGGTTGGACTGGATAAGCTCCAAGGCTACTTTCAGCTCAAAATCCTATGACACTAAACTTCAGAAAGTCTATCAGTAATAATTAGCAATGTCTACTTTAACAATCACTGCACTGTATACCCATTCAGTTGCCAAGGCAAACACTTCAAAATGCCCACATTAGAACCTTGTCTACTAGATACATACTATACACACTGTACTAAATTGCTACTCTTCTTCCACCAACACTGGAACAGCCTTCACAAGTTTACAAAATTAAGTTATCACTGATTTGCAAGGACTTAAGGCCTGAGTGTCAATGTGCATGATTTAAAAAGCTGACATGCCCTCTGAACACTTGATTTTAGCTCTTTAAATAATTTTTCAACCCCTGCTGAGTTCTGCTACCATCCCCATGCTGGTTTCCTAAACCTGTTTAAACAAGTGTTTCTGACCTTGGAAAGAGACCAGAGAAACGACATTGTGCAAATCAGTGAGTGAAGCATTTTGTTGTACCTTACTCCTGCTTCAAAAAGCAGCTGACAAAAGTTCTAAGTCAAGTCTATGCAAATAAACATCAAAAACAGAAGTCAAGTTCCTAAAGTTCCATTCCAATAATTATTTGACTTCCTGAAAGCAACCAGACCTATCCTCTGTAACTATCTTAATGAAAAAATAAAAAGCAAGCCATCTAGGCTTGAAAATCTTAAAAAGCTAAGACCTCCAACCAGGTTATACTACCAAACCACAGATAGATAAATCATCAGTATATACTCAGTAATTAATTAGCTTTAGTGTAAATCCACCTCCCCAACCAGCATGAGAACTAAATTTGAAGAAAAACCGGATCCAATCCCAGGCTCCCTGCTTATGTATGATGTCAAGCAAATTACTCCTCCTCCTTGTGCCTTAGTTTCCCAAACTGTAAAATGAAAGGGTTAGGCTCCCTTCCAATTCTAAATCCCACAGCCTCATGATTCAACTATTTATCTATGCCTAATAGACAAGGTGGCACAATTTTAAAACACCTTTCTTTCTCCTAAAAGAAAAATTAAATTCAAATAAACATTTTCTAAAATTAGACATGCTGGCTAGACTGCAGAAACAAACACAAACATCTGAGTACATCAACTAAGACGCTAGAAACTAGTTTAGGAGATGCTAACTCAAAGTCAACCTTCTACAGAATATAACAGTTTCCTTTCTGTAACAACCAAATTAGGAAGTGCAAGCACTCAGTGAAATTTTGAGGAACAGCACCTGAAGGCTAATTCCAGGTATTTTGACCTCTAACTATCACCCCCATTTCCCAACTCAACTCTTACAAAACGTTAAGAGCAGGGGTAGCTAGGTGGTGCAGTGGATAGAGCTCCAGCCTTGGAGTCAGGAGGACCCGAGTTCAAATCCAGTCTCAGACCCTTGATACTTACTAGCTGTGTGACCCTGGGTAAGTCACTAAACCTCGATTGCCTCACCAAAAGAAAAAAAAAAGAAAAAAAAACATTAAGAGCACTTGCTTACTTGTAATCAGAGAATTCATGATGACGTGCGTAGCCTTGGCCTTCACCACTGGGGCCTTGTTCATTTGGTCACTGGAAGCTGAGGGGTTTACAGAGAAACTATTTTCTCCTTCCTCAACCTGTGCAGGAAGGGTGAGGAAACACTTTTGAAATGGACAGGGAAGAAAATTAAGTCACAAATTCTGTTCTCAAGGTTTACTAAAATGCACCTGTTCTACTTCATAAGTACAAACACAAAAACAGAACCAGAAAGGGGTTTTAAACAAATGCATTATTATTTGTGTTTTGTTAAGATGTGTATTTTTGAAAGTGTAATTTTAAATTTGTATTTGTAAATTTACTATTTGGAATATTAGTACTTTAGAGATTTAAGTCAATTGTAAATATTCATATACACATTCTGACTATGTTAAGTCCCACATTTTGAGAATAATTTCTAAAATTTTTGGAAATTAATTGCAAGGAGGGTGAGAGAAGATATTGAGGAAATTATATTAAAGAACAGTTTGCATTGTGGGCAGGTGGTAAGAAAGAACAAAAGAAGATCAGCTAATTTGCCTACATCCAATGATTAAAGAATTTTGAGAGAGGCCCACTGATTAGAAGAAACATAATTAGAAGTACATTACAGGCTTGGGTAACCCATAAAACCATATACCCAAACCATTAAGAACACTAAGATTTTTAGGTGAAGGACCCAATTAAAAGACTAAGAATAGTGGAATGGGAATCAGAAAACTAGTTTCATGTCTGTCTCGTTACTAGGCAAAAACCACCTAAGCCCATCCATAGAACAAGGAAGCTATACAAGGTGATACCTAAAATTCCTTCCAGCTCTAAGTCCTATGGTCTTCTCATCCTTAAATGATAAAGTTAAATGCAGTTTGATGTCCATATTCTAAGTGCCTGTTTCAATGCTCAAATCTTTGGGAAGAGTAGTAGGAAGAGAACAGTGGGCTAATTCTCTCCCTCCTTACAAACCTACAGAAGATAAAGATAAGGGGAGGAAAGGCAGAAAAGGGGATAGCAGGTAATCCAAAGCAGTTCTTCTCAAAGGACTGAAGTTAAAGATGTCATCGCCAAACTGGGAGACTGCACACTGCATCTTCTCCCTCCCCTCATATGCCCCATCAAGCCTTAACCTTGCCTTAAAAATGCTTGATTTCTACTCAAGAAACAAAGAGGTAAGCTATCCTCAGATACATTTTTCTGCTATGCTTTTTCTAAGAGTCTGGAAAAGCTTCCAGGGACCATCCAGTAAACAGAAAGGGTTTCTTGTACTTCTGGTGTCTTTGGCACAAAACTTGTTTAATCCAAAATAGTGGTCAGGTCAGACTCCAGCAGACACCTCCTTAGTCTAATTATTCACCATTGAAATGTAAATGTAACACTCGCCCAGGTTAAAAGCTACCTTTTTGGATTTAGCAAGAAAGACTTATACAAAGGAAAGAAGAAATAGAAAGGAAAAAGCTAACCTGGAAGAGATGGTAAAACCCCAGCTTCACCCAATGACTTTAGGAAAATGAGTCTGGCCTGCACTCTTCAGCACCTCCCCAGGGTTTACCAAGCAAAGTCCAAACTCCTCTGCCTGGCATTCAAGGTCATCCACAACTGGAATCACCTCACCTTTCTCAACCTTCTGAAATTACTCTTACCTCTTTGCAATAAGCTCCTACTACTTTCCAGTCCCTGAACATTACCTGTCCTCTACTGCCTTTATGCCCTTGCTCAAGCTTTGTCCTAAGCCTACAATGAGTGACTTCAATCCTTTTAACTTGAGTTCCTAGCCATTTTTATTTAAAGTTCACCACAAAGTCACTTCTTCCAGAAAGGCTTCCCTGATTCCCCATGGTTGAGACCAATCCCCACCCTCAGACCAAAGAGGATTTTGTTTTGCACCTCTCTAACGTAATCGTGACATGACACTGTGTATTACAATGATGTGTATGAGTCTTAGCCACCAAACAGACTAGTAGCCTTAAAGGAGGGCTTCTTAACTAAACTCTGTATCTCCTACCCCTGGCAGTGTTGTGCACTCAGTAAGTGCTTAATGCTTGTCCTAAATGTTATGATGTCACTTCCCAATCGTCCTTGCCCTCAAATTTCTACCATTCTTAAAAGGGTAGAGAGAGGTACTGAGATCTACATAAAACAACAGCTATTAAATACCTTGGAAAGCTGTTGGTACTTCCGATCTGGGATGACCGGCTTTTTCCACAGAACCTTACTGCACATGTCAGCTGAAGGCGGAGTCATCGGTGTGGGATCCTCCAGGACATCATCATAACTGAATGCCCGGCGATGCATTCCAATTGGCAAAGACATCTTGCCTAGAAGCCCACTTGTACTGTGCTCAATAGCTAAGAACAAAGACGTTCATAATGAGGAACACAAGTGGTAATACGTCAGCTAATGTACAGTCATATTCCATTTTGAAGAAGTTTAATATACTGATTATCCCTACCATCAAAGTAGAGGAAAGAAAAACAGAAAATCACAATGTTGCCATATCAAAGCAGCAGCATCAGAGCGTAAAGACCAGGCAGATGTAGAGGACTTACAGGAGCTCTGATACTAATTGAATATCCTAACACAAGTTACTTTCCCCTCTCTGGGACCTTGGTTCCTCATCCATAAAATGAGAATTGGACTAGACGATCTTTAAGGTCTCTTAACTCTAAGTCCCATGACTTTATATAACACATTGTCCATAAGAAAAACTTATCAAAAGTTGTTCTGTGGCAGGTGATATAAAATGTCCTCATCAAAGATCACTGTACCCAAATGCAGGTGATTTCCCAACATAAGTACTTCCCTAGGGCTATCAAAGTCACATTAGGAATTATTAAAAATTGACAGCGGCTTTGGTGAATACCTCCAATAAGTATTCAGCATGATCTGTATCAGAACCTTCTTCAAATATAACAGTACACTGTCTAGTTTTAAGTGTTCAGAACACATTTCAATACCATTCAAAGTTCACTTCCTTTGGCAAACGCTGTCACATTTCAAACTGATCCAACATAAACTGGGGGAATCTTTTCCTAGTTTTGAACTTTGCAAGGCTGAGATTCGAGACAACAATACTGTTACCTAATTCCAAAGTTGTTCCCAGCTGACAGCTTCCTCTTTCATGCTTAGTAGGGTTTCAAATAAGTTTTCTAATCAGGGATACAAGGTTCATTTAATTAACTTGCTCTTCAAATTAAAACTGTTTGCTCTGATTCTAGATTAAAAGATGAATTTGCGTAATGCCTGGTTAACTTTGATCTTATACTGAACAAGACACCTACATATCCAACAATAAGCATTTGGAAAGTGAACAGATTTCTAAGTATAGGATACCACTAGACTCTGTTTTTGTTTGTCAGCTAGCCAAACAGTTAACAGTAATGCATTAAACAATAATTTGATAAAACGTTTGCTTTTCAGTCTACAGAACATAACTGCAGCAGTTATCAATCCATAATCATAAGGGCTAGAAGAGAAATGCCTCAGTTTCTCTATGTCTAGGAGTAAGGGGTTGGGCCAAATGATCTTTAAGATTCCTTCAGTTCTAACAAGCTTCGATTCTATGAAAACAGTATGAATAAGGGTATCCACAGAGGAAGTGGTCAATGAGGCAATTATGGGATAATCAGTGACAAGACTGAAAAGCATGCAACCAGTCCAAGTTGACATCATCTAGAATTTTAAGCTGAAATGATAGGGAAATAACGCTCATGTAAAACAAAAGATTTGGACTAGATGGCCTCTAAGGACCCTTCCAGCTCTATGATATTATGATGCTTTGTTAGTTTAGCTTGGGAGTGAATTGTAAAAGACGCTGTTCTATAACACAAATGTTTATTTAATAGCCTTCGATACTACTTGACAATGCTGTCTTATTTGTTGTTCAGTCTTTTCAGTCGTGTATGAGTTTTTGTGATCTCATTCAGGGTTTTGATGGCAAAGATATTGGAGTGGTTTGCCATTTCTTTCTCCAGCTCATTTTACAGATAAAGAAACTGAGACAAACAGGGTGAAGTGACTTGCCCAGAGTCACACAGCTAGTAAGTGTCTGAGGCCAGACTGGAACTTAGGAAAAGGAGTCTTCCTGACTCCAGGCCCAGCAAACACTATTTACTGCACCACCTAGCTGCCCCATGCTATCTTAGATTCAAGAATAATTAAATTTAGCAGTAAAAGCAGAACAATTAACTGGGTATTATCCACATATGTGGTATTGAATTCCCTTTAATATCTCTAGTGGTTCCCTATAACCTCCAAGATCAAATATAAAATTCTGTTTGGCATTCAAAACCTAGCTCCCACCTCTATTTCCAGTCTTCTTAAACCTTACACCCCCTAAAACACACACACACACACACACATACACACACACACACTCTCTCTCTCTCTCTCTCTCTCTTTCTCCCTCTCTCTCTCTTTAATCCAGTGACATTGGACTCCTTGCTGTTCCTCTCACAAGACACTCCATTTCCCAAATGCATTTTTACCGGTTGTCCCCCATGTCTGCAATTCTCCCCTTCCTCATCTCCACCTCCTGGCTTCCTTAAAGTCCTACCTAAATTCCTACTTTCTACAAGAAGGCTTTCCCAATTCCCCTTAAAGTTATGCCTTTCTTGTTTATTACTGACAATTTATTCTGCACATATCATGTTTGGAGATAGTTATTTTTGTACCATCTCCCCCATTGCTATCTGTGAGATCCTGGAGAGCAGGGACTGTTTTTTACCTCTTTGTATCCCCAGTACTTAGCATAGTACCTAGCATATAGCAAGCACTTAATTATTTTCGCTGACTAAGGAGGTGTCTACTGGAATCACGTCCCCATCTTGACACTAGGGACCAAGAATTTAATTACTGGTCTAGCATAGATCCAGAAATTACAATGAAAAATCTAATCATCTCAACTAAAGTAGCCAATTCATAACCAATCGAAACAACATGAGTTTTTTCCCCCTGCCATCATTAGGTCAAAAAAATGCATTTGTGAATTTGATTATGAATGACTATGTTTAATAATACTCATTTTGGAATAAGCAAATACTACACTTCGAAATGAATCTTTATGGAACAAGTTTTGACAGCCACAAATCCTTAATTAGCTGACAAAAATTCTCTCCCCACGTCAGATAAAACCGCCAAGAACTCCCTACTAACCAATGCAAGGGGTTTAATTTAAGAGTTCACTTCATCGATCTTTCTGACTATGGATAGGAGTACTTCACAGCCTCTGCCCAAATCCAGATTATCCCTAATGACAGGACCAGCTTGTTCCAATATTCCCCATGCCTCATTACCTGTCAGTTCTCCCTCAGATCTGACCTAAGTCCTCACCAATGCTTATTCTGTGGTCAGAAGCTCATAGCAGACTAGCAAAGTACAAGCTCTCAGAGCCTGCGTTTCTCCCTTTTTTAAAGGGTACAGAAGCCTGAGGACAGGGACTGGTGTTCCTTAGATTTTCCCATAGCACCTAGTATAAATAATAGGCAAATATAAACTAAGGAAAGAAGGCTTCCTGGTTAGGTGGAAAATAACAGCTGAAAGTCAATAATCTAGGTTCTAGACAACTTTCTGCTGATCACCAGCTATATATTCTCATGCAGGTAACGCCCCTGCCTGGGCCTCAGTTTCCCTATTTAAAAAAGGGGGGATTTGGACTTCCAGGTCCCTTCCTATTGTAATATTCTATGCGTATGTGAGAGAATATAAATCAGGATAACCACTTTTTCTATGCATAGACAATTTTTTAAATACCAATGTTAAATCTAAAAATGGTTTACAAATAGAACATTAGCTTCAAATGAAGTGATTCCTTCCATAATAACTTAAACAACTGAACAAATAAAGTATGACTTTACTAGAAAAAACTGAATTTACCAGGCACATCTGGCTCTCTGGATGATGCCATGAAAGACTGTGATCCAGGTGTTTCTCTAGATAGATATCCAGAACTCTGATTCCCTGTCACCAAATAAAAATAAAGTGCATTTTCATATGCTGAAAGGTGGGAAAACAAAAAGTACTACAAAAATTACCGTTGATACATCTACAAATATAGTTGAGTTTGAGAAAAGCACAATGTAAACACACCATTTATAGATAAAGCCCTGAAAAAATGGTAAGACATCTACTAGAAATACTTAAAAGTCAAAGCCCTCTACTAAAGCCCTTCTTTGATGCCTGATCATGGTTAACAGTATGACTCTTCAGTTAAGTAACATAAGCTATGGCAGATTGGTTTAGAGCTAATCAATGTAATGTACTCATTCTGAAACATCATCTCTCACGAAGCCCATACTCTAAGACCTCCAGATTCTTAACCTTTTTTGTATCAACAGATCCCTCCAGCATCTGGTTAAGCCTATGAATCTTTTCTCAGAAGGTTTTAATTGAATAAAATTAAAATATACAAGATCACAAAGAAAGCCAACTGCACTGGGATACAATTACGGAAATATTTAAAGTTTTAAGTTCATGGACCCTCTGAAATCTATCCATTAAGATACAGGTAGCTCTAGGCTGCAGTACTGGTCCAGTGACTGACATATGCTGCCCTGCCCAGATTAAGTTCAGAGAAGCTTATCACAATCCAGTTGGCTGTAAAGGTGATAACTTTTTAGCCAAGGTTAACTCTTGGAGACCATCTCCCAGAGAAAACTATGGACCCTCGAACCAAGTCTAAGGCCTAATCTTATTGATTCCCCTCCACATTAAAATAGAATGATGTAAATAGTTAAAGAGAACATCTGCTTACCACGATGAAAGTTAGGCAGATAGGACAAAGATGTCAAAAGGAAACATTCTGCAGCTAGTGATGAACTAGCAAAGAGTCCCAAGCAGCTCTCATGCAGAGGCTCTATGGACTAGAATTAAGAAGCAAAGCAAAAGTCCTTTACCAAGTTCACTCACAAAACAAAAAACAGAACAAAACCAAAAAAAGAGCCCCATTCTGACATCACATCCAAAAAACACATTCGATGACACTAGAGTTTCTGTTAACCTATAGTTACAAGAGTCTCTGAAAAGTGCTCTAACAGTTCTACCACAGAATCATTAAAACAGAATTCCCTGAATCTCGAAATAACCCAACTTTGGACTTACCTATGGTTGAAGAACCACAATAAGGCCATATTACCTCCAAGGCCATTCCAACCATATGAGCCACCTGTAATTAAAACTGCCCTAGTGTAGATGTACCACAGGGACTGGTTCTAGACAGTAATCCCCAAGGTATTAAAAGAAAGGCCTGGGCCTGCTCTGTGACATTAGAAGGAAGGCTCAGGGCTTCCACACTAAAAAGCTCTCAATTCCACTCTTTTCTCCAAGCCTTAGGCCCTTCCCATCTCTAAGCACAGACCACCCCCACCCCCCCACCCGCGATAAGTAGTGTAAACTAGGCAAGATAAACAAGACCGCCTGTTTTTCTCCCATCCCACATCCCCTGTCGAGCCTTTCCACAATACCTACAGGCTTTCGGGCCTATGCCCATCCACACCCCCTACTACCCCCCTCACGACATTCACTCTATACGCCCTACACATCCCTCTATCCATAACACCTCCCTATCACAAAACCTCCATCCCCCATTTATACACTTCCCTTTACTAACCTTAAGCATACGGAACCCAGGACCCCACGGCCACGGGCCGCTCTAAAACCACAAATACTCTAGTGCCTCCCCGCCATCCACACATCATGACGCCCCTCAAAACCCTCTAGTCCCATCCCCACCCCGTTCAGGAAGCCGCGCAGACATCCACAGCCCCCCCATTCACCCTCCAGCCCTGACCTTTCCCCAAGGCTCCCAGAATCACACCCTAGCCCCCCCCCACCCCACACACAAATTTCACACCGACACCTTCCCCAGCCAGCCCTTCTCCCCCTCCCTGCGCCGCCCCCGGCTTGCCCTGGATCTCTTACCAGCTGGGTTTCTGTGAGGAGGGGGGTGGGATGGAGGAAAGGGGAGTGGGAAGAGACCGTCCGCAGCCCAAGGCTCCGCCACGGACAGCAAGCTGAGACTAACAAGGCTCCAGGCCCCCGTCACTCCCTAAGAGCCGAAGCACGGGGCGAACCGAGGCCATTACGCAAGCAGCGCCAAGACCCAAAACCACCTCAGCTGCGAGAAGTACAGAGAAGTGGTTCGGCGTCTACAAGCCGGCCTTATAAAAGCCGGGGAGATCGCGAGACTTGGAGTGCGAGGCGAAGTTGCCAGCTGCTCTCCGAAAGGAGCGGAAGACGAGAGAAGGGAAGAGGCGAAGGAAACGTATGGACGCCTCCCCGCGGCCTTCTGGGAAATGTAGTTCCCAATGAAATAAACCCCGCCCTAGCCTTAATGTTTGACATTTACCACGGGTCGTCAGGGCACCTGGCGGCTGTAAAAGGTCATGACTTCAATCTGCCTTGACGTCTGGCCCCATCACCTTACCTCTTACCTCAAATTTTGTCCTTAATTTTCATTTATTCATTCATTCAATAAACATTTATTAAGCGCTTACTATGTGCCAAGTGCTCAGGATCCAAAAAGAGGCAAAGGACAGTTTCCATCCACGTTTTCCGTCTCAACAATTCCGTTCCATTCCATTCAACTATCACTTCTTAAACACTCAAACCACCGTGTGGAGAACATATAACAGGTACACAGATGAGTAAATACAAGACAATTAATGGAGGGTGAAAGCTCTAACAATCAGGAGGATTAGGAGAATAAACCTGAACCTTGAAGGAAGTTAGTGCTGAGGATATTCCCCCAAACAAAGTTATGGTAGCTGTTATTTACTCACTCTTCTTCCTTCCTCAGTAAGTTCAATGCCTGGCTCACAGGCTTTCTCTATGCTCTAATTCCTGCTCTCATTCTAGGAAACTTCAACATACGTACTGATACTCCCTTAAACATCCCATCTTCCCGGCTGTTCAATCTACTGAAGTCAAATGACCTACTCCTCCACTCCACTACTGCTACACACCCTTGATCTTGCTTTCCACCACAAGTGTTCTACTTGTTCATATTCATGAACTCTGAAATTCCTTCATCTGAACATAATTTTTTCTCATTCCATCTTTCCCTGTGCCTCATGACCCTAACACTCCTGTCCATCCTCTACTCCTTGACTTCCTTTGGCTCTACCTTTCAGTTCTTGCCCAAGGCATCACATCTGTATCTGTGTTCCCTTCCCTATCTTGACCCCTTAGTGAATCAATTCAACTCTACAATATCTTCTACATTCAAACCTCTTGCTCCCTCTTCCATCTCTGATCATGCTTTGCCAAACCCCAACCTTGGATTATTTCCACCCTCTGCTGCAGTTCCACCTATTCATGTGTTGCTGAATGGAGGAGAAAAATAACAAAACTATGATGACTGGGATTATTGTACAGTTAGAACAAAGACAAGTATGATTGGCATCAACTGCCTCTAGAAATCCTGGCTGGAAAATAAAACCAACCTGTTCAGGATCTGCCCTCCTCCCCTACCCACCACCACCCCACCTTGGCCTCTCCCTTGAAGACCAAGTCACCCCTAATTTTGAAAAGAAGAAGCAAGGACAGGAAAGTCATTCCCCATGGAAGGTCTAGCCCAAGCCCAATTCAAGCTGTTGCCTCAGGAATGGGAGTGGTCACATTACTCTATCATACACTTTAGGAACTTCCAGTTGAACTAGACTGAGAAGTGGGAGCCTGACAAAATGGGGAAAAGGATGGATTTCAGAGTAATACAATACAGCATAATATTAATTTCTTCACAAGACAATCTTTTTATACTTCCCTAATCTATTCACTGTCCCACTTGTCACAGTGGCTATTTCAAATATTTTCACCTATCTTCAAACTTTGTATGGCACTGCCTCCCTTCAGCTCCCAACTAAGGACCTTTCTTAATACTTCACAGAAGAAAAAAAAAAATGAAGCCATTTCTAGAAAACTACCTCTTCTTCTCTCTCATCTCACATAGATCAGACGTCTTCTCCCACTATATGTTCACACGAAGAAATGGCCCTTCTCCTTACCAAACATTTCTACATGTACCCTTGATCCTATTGGGACCCACCTTCTGCGGCAGATGGCCCCCTCTATCATCCCCACTCTCTAATTTTCAATCTCTCTCTCCCTACTAGCTATTTGTCTGCTGCTTTCAAACACTCATGTTTCCTCCTTCATTTAAAAAAAAAAACACCTCTCATGATCCTACTGATCGGGTGATGTGACCTGGACCCCTAAAATGAAAACACCATGTCTTTGAAAGCAACCCAGTCCCTGAATTTTCCAATATATTTCAGCAGCCCAGATCACCAGCACCTCTGCACAAGGCACTTGGCCCACCCCAGCCTAGCAAGATCACCTAGCCTACTTGATATTCCTTTCAATGTAGCACCTCACCCACTCCAGACTACTTACCATTCCTAAATCCCATCCAGATTCCTTTCACTGTGCTTTTTGTATATAAACCTCAGTCTCACCACCATTAAGTTGTAGGTTTACCAGGAACGTCACCCACCCTATTGCATTACAATAAACCTTGTCATTTGTCTGGAAGAAGGTTTGAGTGTGTGAATTCATTCCAGGAGGATGCTGCCCTATACCCTGACATTTTGGGGTTCCCAGCAATCCCAAACTGCATCACTACTATTTCCACTAGATATCCTTTCTTTAGTAGCTAAACTTCTTGAAAAAGCTGTCTACAATTGGCACCTCCACTTACTTTCCTCTCACTCTCTGCCATCTGGCTTTTGAACCTCATCATTCAATTAAAACTCTTCTTTTCCAAGTTCCAAGATCTCTTAATTGCCAAGTCTAAAGGCCTCTTCCAGATCTTTATCTTTCTTAAAGTCTCAGCAATTTTTGACATACTGGCTCTCACTAAGCCCTGACTACTCCCTAATGACACAGCATCTCTAGCCTCCCTTTCCAGGACCAGCTGCACTTTCACTCATTCTGCCACTCATTGGTCAAGGTAAGAGAATTAGAATCCTCTTCGCTTTCTATTGCTTCTTCAATGCTTCCTCTACCACTATCAGTCAGTAACCCCTCCTCCTTTGAGGTTCACTCAATTCATATCTACCAACTAATCAAAACTCTAGTAGCTTTTGTCTACCAAACCTCTGGGACACTCCCCCTCTTTCCTTAATGAGTTCAGTGCTTGGCTCAAAGTCTTTCTCTCCTACACAACTCCTACCCTCACTCTAGAAGACTTCAACGTTCATATCGATACTCCCTCAACCACCCTAACCTCCCAGTTCCTTATATCTCATTTCCCATTACCTACTCCTCCAAATACCCTTATCTCATGACAATCCAATGTCCTTCTACTTCTCCTTTTGTCTTACAACTCTGCACTATAATCTATAATCTCTCAACCACTCAATTCTTTTCCCAGGTCATTACCTTGTATTAGCTACAGCCATAGATTCCCAAAGTGGGCCATACCATGGCCCCACCCCACCCCACCCCCCACCCCCGCCCCCGTGCTAGAACAATGGGGGGGGGTAGTAGCCTCGGGTGCATGGGGGGACATTGGATAAAAATAAGGGGGCAGTAGAAGCATAATTTTCCTTATGAAAGACAAGAAATTTTTGAAAGACCGTTTGTATGTTTGATCTGTTGTGTGACAGTTGTAGCAATTACATTATTTTCCAAATAAACACACAAAATGCAAGTTATAACCCTTTAATGGCTTTTAACCCAATATCGCATGATCGAATTTTCTATTAACGGTTACATGATGAAATAGTGCATTACCAAAATTTCAATGCAGAAAAAAAACACAAATATACAATAAAGTATTAAATTTAAAATGCATCATTTTAAAAAAAACTTTATATTTTTTGAAATGACACAAATTAAAAAAAAACATTAAAGAGTTAAAGTTGATTTCCAGGGGGTTGCTGAGTAAATTTTTTTTTTTAAAAGGAGGCAGTAGGCCGAATAAGTTTGGGAACCTCTGAGCTACACTCTCATACCTTCACCATCTTGACCCCTTGATAAACCAATTCAATGCCACACTTTAGAGTCCCCAGTCTCCTTATCAAATCACTGATCTTGTTCTCCCAAATCTCAGCCTTGGATTACTCCCACCATTAGTCGCCTTAGCTTCTGCACCTGTATTGCTGAATTAAGCTGGAGAAAAATCATAAAATCACGATGACTGGGTCTACTACAAATTCATTTTTCATAACCTCAACTGAGCCCTCATGGCTAAATGACAGTACTTTTACCTCATCTTATGTTTTACCTCCCTAATTAACTCACCATTCCACTCACAATAGTGGCTCTTCTAAACCTCTTTATCCTTCCTTGACCTCCTATGGTTCCCCCTTCCCCAAACCTCTCAGTTGAGAAGGTACCTTGCCTTATATTTTACTGAAAAAATTGAGGCCATTCACCAAGACCTCCCTCCTCTCTTTCCTCCTCATTTCACATCACCCATATGCCTTCTGCTACAATCTCCTCTTTTACCCCATCTCACATGAAGAGGCACCCCTTCTACTTCCAACACAAATCCTTCTACATGCACATGTGATCTCATTCCATCCTGTCTTCTCCAGCACATTGACCTCTCTATCCTTCCCTTTCTCTCACACACTTATTTTCAATCTCTCTCCATCTACTGGTTGCTTTCCTACAGCCTACAAGCACATCCATGTCTCCTCCATCCTCAAAAAAAACCCTCACTTGAACCATCCATCCTCATTACTTATCATCCCATAACTCTCTTCCTTTTTGTGGCTAAATTCCTTGAAAAAGCCATCTACAATGTGTGCCTCCACTTGCTTTCCTCTCACTCTCTTCTTAACTCTTTAAAGTCTGACTTCCTAACTCAATCAACCCAGAACTGCTCCCTCCAAAGTTACTAATCTCTTAATTGCCAAATCTATTGTCCTTTTCTAGATTGTTATCCTTCTTGATCTCTCTGCCTTTGACACTTTTAATCACACTCTTCTCCTTGATACCCTCTTCTCATTCACCAACTATCTATCTAACCACTTCTCGGTATCCTTTGCTGGATCTCTATCTAAATCATGCCTGCTAACTATGGATTTCCCACAGGACTCTGTTCTATGCCCTCCTTTCTTCTCCTTCTACACTACTTCACTTGGTGATCTTACCAGCTCCCATGGATATACGTTTTGTCTCTCTGCTGATGATTCTCAAATCCACTATCCAGCCCTAACCTTTCTCCCAACCTCCACTCTCC